GAATTGAGGCAGTTCTGAAGGCAAAAGGGGGTCCAACCCGTTACTAGCGTGGTGTACCTAATAAAGTGGCCGGTGAGTGTATATCGGGATATATCATATCGTGACCCCTCTGTCATTATATATATCATATCACCAAATTCTTGCCAATACACAGCCCTAATGGAAGATGAGGTTAAAAATGCCAGGTCCTTGTATATATTGAAGAGAATGATAAAAACGAGTATTCTGAAGAAATATGGAGAATTATAAGTGAATGGTTTTTTGAATTGATGTCTTTTTATTTTTATTTCATTTTTAAATGTTTTAAGTTGTTTTGATTTTTGTTGTATTTTAATTTTTCTTTTGAACATATTTTGGGCATAAAAAGGGGCAGATATTATAAGATTTATTCTTCTGCTGCTGCTTTTCATTTTATTTGATTTTAATTTGATTGCATGTTTTTCTGTACTTTGTTAATTTGTGTTACAAATGAAATGAATAAAGAACTACTACTACTACTACTACTACTACTACTACTACTACTACTACTAAATGGAGAAATAAAAAGCCCCACAACAACTACATAAAAAAGTTGCGGAAGCAAGATACTTTGTAATAGGTGAAATACGATTAGGCTTTAGAGTGTGAAACTTAGCACAGTCATAATAAAAGCATTTTTAAATCAAACTGAAAAGACTCTCAGGGTTATAAGGACTGTTTGTTCCACTGCAGAGGGCTTAAAGTGGTATCTCACTGAACTGCAATGGTTGGAGAGAAGTTGGGAACTCAAAAATGTGTGAAAATTACAAGAAAACAAGTCAATTTTGAGCATTACGCTCCCTGAATTCTGAGCATTTGTAATCAAGAGACCAGCAACTCATGTGGTCACATTTTCAACTGCAAGGATTCAAATATCCTATTTCTGTATGTCTCTCAGGCAAAAATGGATTCTTGGCCGTGCAAATAATTTTGTTGTCCACCTCTGCCCACACCCCACCTCAGCTTGCTTTGTACACACCTTGACACTCACATTTTAGGTTTAGTCTGCTGAAGTTCATTTATAAAATGAAGATAGGATCTATATCTAATTATCTTTATTATTGTTTTGTATATTTTTTTATCTGGACATTTGCCTTTTATGTTTTTTTGTCACAAGTGCGTTTCCATGCAGGTATCGAAAATCAGTGCACTTGAGCGAGGCTGCAGCATCCCATGACAAAACGAGAGGTTGAAGATCTGCGCACCCTAACCCCTAATTTGCAATAGATGCGGTGGACCTCCTCTGTACTTTGCAACGGACTGGACCTGAGTGGAGCGGATGCTGTATAAATTGGGGTGCAAACAAACGGCAGCGAACTGCGCACCACAGTGGAGTGAAGAGAAATCGCATCTAGTATAAATTAGGGGTAATTTTGACTATCTTGAAAGAGAAAAAAAAGTTGCACAAATGTTTTGCACATGTTCAAAACTCAAGTGACAGGACTGCACATGTCTGCGACTCATTCAAAGAAATTGATAACCACCACAAGCGTTGCAGTATA